ATTAGTGTTCTTAGAAGTAGAAACAAATTCTTCTCTACTAGGGGAGAGCTCCATCATTTTTCTTGGAGTATTTATGGCTTTTGCAGAAGTCACCAAGAGGGCTGCTGTACTTAACTTGAACACTGACTGGAACCATTTATTCTATCCACATGAATTTTTAAAAAGTATAGTGGCAGCTTCTATGTGAGAAGAGTTAAAAGTAACAGTATGGGAGCCATTACTACACTAAATCACCTAGAGTTCCCTTTCATGGCAGGTATTTTACTTTGCTAACTTAATGCTCATTGTTTTTGGTTTTTTTTTTAAATGTTAAGGTGAAATTGAATTGCCTGCTTAAGGTGTATGGAGGTAGCTTAAAGGAAACTGCTTTAATTTAATGTTGCTTGTGTGGATTTACATGTTACAATGAGTGGCTGCCATCAGGATACTGCCTAAATGATTTGAAGGTTTCTTGACTTGGAATTGATGTGTGCCATTGTCTTGAATTTGCAGTTTCTAGCATAGAAATCTACTGCTATGTGGAGTTCTTGGTAAATCTGTATAGTGTTATTTCTGTTTTAATATCTGAAACTCATGTTTGCTCTGTGATTCTTACATAATTAGAACTACCAGTTTTCCTCATTATGGTTATTACCTACTAGACTTGTGTAAGTAGAGGGAAAGAAGTATTGAAAAAGCAGTTGTCTCTAGTTTGGATTCAGTGCCATAACTTTCTGTTCTTTTATTGATGGCTTGTCTGCTTCAGGGATTTCAGATTTTCTGATCAGCTAAGAAGTGAATAGCAACTGTACAGTGCTTTTCAATGCAGGGTGAACACACATAGTCCCAAAATTGTCCTTTTGGAAACCCAAAGCCTAGTAAGGGGCTTACAAGAATGTTCCCACTGTTGAGCCTTGGAGCAGTATTTTTGGACTGAAGTTACCAATGTGTAGCTGCTTGAGGAGAAACTGGCAGAACATCAGCTGTCCAAGCTAAGACTGAATTTTGCTCAATGCAAATCTGCACCAAGGAGGGGGAGGAGGAGCTTACTTCTTACTCTGAGTTGGAGCAATGGCAAAATATCATTATTTGGCTTTGACTTGACAGTCTGCCAGCTTAAGTCCTTGAAGCTTGCAGCTTTCCTTGTATTTTAGCAAAACTCATCAGGCCAACTCAGCATTTTATTTTTGAAGTAAAGCTTTTCAGTGGCTGAACTTTCAATGCAAGTGTTCAAAGCAGCATCTTAAATAGAGTCCTAATCTCTTTCTTTGCAGCCAGAACCCCACAGTTGAGAATGGAGATTTCTCTTCGAAGTAGCCATCTAAGAACATCATAACTTCAGCAGAACTAACCAGTGCTGCTGTGGAAGGAAGCAATCTTGCCCTGGCTGCTGCTTCCTCCCTCCTCATCTGATCCTCCCATGTGTTAACTTGAATGTTTGTACAGAAGTCATAAACCAGATGGAGTAAATGATTGAGACTTTTTCTGAGAATTCATTTTAGGCTGGATCAGTTCCTTGAGCTGGTTGACTGAGCAGCCATATGGTGTACAGACCACCTCCTGCACCAGCACAGGTGGCCAGGAAGAGGCTGACGCCATTTCTTTTGGTTGCAGTGCTGACTTAGGCCAATTCTGTGTGTTGTTGGAAATGTAGCTCTGTATCCTTTACCTCTTCTCTGGCAGGTTTGAGTTTTGGTTTGGGGATTCAAAGCTTCATATTCATCTTCCTATGCAACTGCACTTCCAATTTATCAAAGCCTAATAGTTAAAAACCAGTAGTACTTTATCCTAATAAGGCTTTCATGAGCACTTGAGACACTTGGCCCCTTTACCTTCTTTAGTTATAAAAGAGAAGCAGCCACCTTTTCCTTCCAGGCCTCTAAATCAGCTCTTTGAGCTGTCTGCAGTGAGCAACATTTTTGTGTGTGTAGAAAAATGCATGGTTCCTCTTGAGCCAACAAATTCCTTGTTTTTCAGAAACGTTATCTCTAGTATTACAGTAGTAATTCATTATTTCTGGAATGTGCATTGGAAGGGAGGAAAATTGCTTTGTAATCCTTAGTACTGCCCTTCCTTCCTCGAGTGGGTTACTTCAGATGCAGGGCTTGCCAGCCTTCCTCACTGTGACTGGATGAGGTTGAGGAGCGCCGGTGGGAGCAGCTCCCTCAGGGCATCCCTGCAGCAGGAGCCTGCAGTGGGCATTTGGCAGCGGGCACACAGGGCAGTGACCTCTTCAGCAAGCAGCCCTTAATGGAAACAGTGTCTTTAACAAGAGTCTCTTGCCACTGCTCAGCAAATCATTTTGAGGAATGGCACAAATAGAAGCAGTGTTTCCCTCCAGGCTTTTGCTTGTACCTCTGTGGTCCATGCACCAGGTTCAGGGAATGTGGTAGCCAGTTTGCCTGTGCAGGCTCCAGCTAATATTGAGCTAAACAGTGTGCAGGTTTCTAGCAACTTCACTTTGTAGGTTCTTTTTTTTTTTGAGCCTGTTCTGTAAGATATCATAGTTTGTGCAGTATATCACCTTTTGTGAAGATGGTACATTATTAGAAGTTAATACTTTGAATATAATAAACCATACTGAGTAAATTTTAAATTGGGTGAACTGTGAGAGTGAAACAAGTATATTATCTTCCAGACAGAGCACAGCCTTGACTTTGAATAGTGTTCCTACAAAGTCACAAGATCTAGGCAGATCTCTCTGCCTGTGACATTTCTGGAAGGAATGGTCTGAGTTTTCACAGTAATCTGTTAATATGTGATATTTTAGGATTGCAAAGAAGTTGCAAGTGTAGCTTTATCACATTGCTTGAAATTTCTTTGTTGTCTCAGTATTTGTGCTCTCAGAATACTTGAAGACTACAATCATGCAAACTTCATGCATTTGAATGTCTCTAAATTTACTGCAAATGGGAGTATAGCACTAAGGTATTGCTGCTCATTGCTTCTGTAATCCCTATAGAGTGCTTATTATATGTTATTTTTAAGATCATTTATGCCAGTTCAAAGTAGGTAGAAATAATTTTTAGTTGAAAAGAGATTGTGGTAAGAACATCAGTAGAACCTCTAGTTTTCTAAGAAGAAACAATTGAGGTTTTTTTTTTCCTTAGAAAATCTACAAATGGTTGGATTCACTTTGTGGATTTTGATGGAATGAAATGGATTTCCTGTTTAGGCTAGAATAACCACTGGCGGTGCTCCTTTGTAAAATTAGGATCGCTTTAGAACCAGTTCAGAAACAATTTTTATTTTGTCAAGCTTAGTGCTGCCACAAGAAATCTGTGAAACCACACATCTGTTGCACATTGGTTTAAAGTAATTTAAAATCACTAGGTTGAATTTTAAATACTTTACCAGTGACTCAACTTTTATTCTAACACAAGTCTGAGATGTTTAACTGAGACAATTTGGCCAAACTCAAGGAACTGTTTTCCATTAGGGAAGGCTGGTTCCCAAAGAAACCACTCCCACCTGGAGCCACCTGGCAGTTTGTCCCACAGGCCGTGTCAGCTGGCTGGCAGTGGTGATGTGATAGGTGTGTATTGACTGCTCATGTTTCTGAGCAGAACTGAGAAGAATGGGGATATATAAAGCTAGTGCCATGAAGCATGACACTTCAGGATAAGCATCCATGTGAGTTCTTTGAATTTTTGATGAGTTAAAATGGTTTGCATGCAGCCCCTTTGCCACCTGTGCCCAGTAAAACAGTATCTCTGGTTTTGTTTGCAATGAAGACGAACTTCAGAGGGCTGAATGAGCTAATGTTCCGAGTAAGGTTTTGTTTAAAGTTGGATAGCCCTTGTTCTAGCAACTTTACCTTGCATTTGCTCTGTTGAGGCCTTGCACTGAACACATTTTAATAGGAACACTGTCTTGTGTTTGTAAACTTGCTAGGAACATAATGCAGAACAAAATAAGTGAGAGTAACTGTTACAGTTGCAGAAGAACTGTACTTGTGCTTTGATCTTCATCGACTTAATCCTTGGTGCTTGTCACTCTGTTGCTCTCTGAAAAGGTTACTTTTATGGAATCTCAATAGCAATAGTGTGGCCTAACTTTAGGAATGTTTCAGCAATTTTAGTGCCTCCAGAAGGGAATGGAAACTAGTAATACTTGGACTTTGCTGCCATTGCTCTGGAGTTTCTACATAGGAATATTAACTTTTAATATCCACTTAGAGATTGCTCAACCCTGTAGCTTTTCATTGAAGTACATTTCAATATTTTTCTTCCTGTTCTGTGTGTAAATCTTTAATATAAGTTCCCAATGTTTTCTCTTAACTCTTACTGCTATTCCCGAATCTAGCATGGAGAAGCAAATAAATCTTCTCTGTTCTGTTACTGTTAGATTTCTGACAGTGGTGTGAGCATATTAAATCCCTTGACTCCTCTTGGATTTCTGAAAAACAATGATGATTATTTTAGGGAACTGCTGACCTACTCTTTTAATAAAGAACTTGTCTTGTATTCCACTTTCCCATTTTTAGAATCATGGTTCATATTGCTCTTGCTTCACAATCGTGTAACATCCTTGTGGAGAGTACAGCAGTTGCTTACCTGGAAAAGTAATATTAGAAAAGTGTGTATTTTTAGCTGCCTTTTGATGTGATGTAGCAGCTGGAAACAAGGAGGAGAGACAGTATGTGGTGATCTGACAGCACTGCCAACCACAACTTGAAACCAAAATGTGGGGGAACCATTTCATAGGCTTGATTATGCCCATTGTGCCTGGCACTTCAATGATCCAGATACTGTGGCTTTGCTCTTGGTTGTCAAAAGTTTTATTTCAGAGTCCTTCCCATGACTACTTGACAAATGTTGTTAATGTATAGAAAAAGCAAGTTCTGTGAAGTTTTTTGTTTATGTTAATATGCATTAAAAATATATAAAGACCAGGCAGTTACATGGACACATTTCAGAAATAAATAGTAAAATATCCATTTGATGTCAGTGATTAACAGTAAATGTCTAAATGAAAAGATATTCTAACTATTAACAAAATTTCTGCTTTTCCCTTTGTAGTAAACATGTCCACAAGTCAAAGAAGGAATCTAGCAAGTTCATGTTGAGGTATATTCTCAAGACAAGACACAGTGACTCATTTGCTTTTCTGGGTAAGAAAGGTATCTTTATTCTCTTGAGTGTGACAAAAAGTACTTAACCTTTTAAATTTAATTTCAGAAAAGTACAGTCTGTCAAGCCAGTATGCTGGGGGGTTGTGGGTGGAGTGTTTTGTTGGTTTTTATTTTTATTTGTTCTTGAAGTTTTCTGGGCACATGTAGAGGACTTTCCACCCTAAGACCTTTTAGACTAGTGGTGCAAAGGAAGAGCAATAAAGAGCAATTTCAGAATAAAAGACACCACTGAATAGCATGTGATTGTTTGGATGGAAAAGTAATTCCAGTTCATTGTCACAAAAATGTGTACATTTTCTAGCCTGACTTGCCAAGGGAATGGTGTTTGTAATATTATCTCATTCTTTTCTCTTCCCAAAAATTTTAAACATCTCTCTGTCTAGGAAGAGAATAAAAAACTTACAACTTGAGACAAAAGTGTAGAAGTCAACCTTATATGTATTGTGTTGACAGGCTGGCAGCCAGCAAACATGTGCTCCTCCATGGCCAGCATGGGTATTCTGAGACACCACAAACAGCTATGATCATTGCAATAACATGAGACATGTTGGCTGCTTCCTGCAAATTTGTATGTGGTCTGATTTTAGTAGTTCTGCTGCTCCTAGAATTTCCCCAGCTTGATCCAGACAACTCCAGAACAAAAAAGAATTTAAGGATTTTTTTATTTTAATCAGGAAGGTGTGCTTTGCTCATTTGCTTACAGTGTTTATGTATACATGGACCTGTGTAGCATCTTCTATGTGTAACATTGCTCTGCAAGTGTTTACCTCCTTAATAACCACATGGGTGCTGTGCAGATTGTCCTTTAGCACTGTTGTAGGTAACTTGTACCAGTAACCTTCAGAGACTGGAGGCCTGATTTCCTCTTTTCCTCAGCTCTCTCATCCACACTCAATTCTTGTGGTCTTGCTTAGTGCAGCTGGGTACCTGGGTTTGCTGGATCATCTGATGACAGAGTGAGAAACAAAGCTTTTGTTTTTTGTTCCTATCACAGTCAGGTGTTACAATTCATTCTCTTTCATGTTTCTCATGTAAGCTGTGCCTCTGACTCCTCTCCAGTCTCAGTGGACTCTGCTATAAAGTCGTAGGCTTACAGCTGTGCTCCTGTTGTAAGGACTTGTGGGCTGGATCACCAGAGCATTGCCTACTTGTTTATCATCCACTTTGTCATGAGCCCCAGTGCATTTAGTCACTGCTTCAGATTCCTCTCCAGTTATGAACAGAAAAGTAGTGCAGCAACAGAGGAGTGTTGCTGCAAAATAATCTGTTTCCAAAGAACAGAGCAGTTTCCATAAAGAGTTAAATTAGATAAGATGACGTATTTTAGTCTTTTAAGTTTAGCACTTCTCTCAGAACTTAATTAGATCTAATTTAGTTTGGCATTGCCTGACTTTTTTTAGTACAGAATTAGCCTGTTTCTCTCTGTCCTAGGGCAGTCCTGTAATTTTGGCAGTCTTGTTCCAATTATCAAACTCAGTTTCTAAAGATGTAGTTTCAGAATACACACTGCTAATGTTTTTATCTTTTTACAGTATCTTCATGATTCACTGTCATCGTGTTTCTGCTGTGGAGCTGCTTTCTTTTTAAGTGTTCCTACTAAAGATAGAAAAGCTCCTTGGGCTCTTTCATTCTTTTATATCTTAAGTAATAAAGCCGACCATTGGTTGCTGGGTTTTTTTTCAGCTGTTTCATATGGCTTATATTAATGTATCAGAGACTTTATAATTCTAAAATTGTCTTTTGGTGATTGTCTCATCTAATAAGGATGAATGCTTTTTTTCCCCCTAAATTTCTATTTTTGTGCTAATTCTTTTAATCTTACAAAGCTATATCTTGGAATTTATGTGGTGTGCAGCTGGAGCTTTTGTTTTTACATGGTGCATCTGGACATTTGCAGTGCACTTGTTGGATTTTACTAACAGCTCTCCTAGTCTGGAGTGACTTGAAGAGTTCTTATTCAGGATTTGTTTTACTGCTGCTTATAGGAAGCTTATCAGGGAGTCATACCTAACATATGATTTAAAAATTCTTTCTTAAATGAAGGATTTTAGATTGTGTATTTCCTATTTATCAAATACAACTATGCAGACCTACCTACATGCCTACAGAAAAATAGGAGGGCCTACTTGTAAATGAAATGTTTGAAATTTCTTAAACACCTTCTTTGTGGTGATTTTACTAAATACTCATTTAGAAAATAATCAAAAATATGGATATTTTTCTAAATGTTGAAATGATGTGATGCATCTTGCTTCCACATAACCCTGCAAAGACTAGGGCACTTTTTAAAATGTATTTCATTTAGTTAATAATAGTCATCTTGGGTTTGTAACTTAAATGATAACTGAAGATGTATCCTCATGTTTTAAAACTGTATTTTTATTTTAATATTTCTTCTCCTCTTGATTTAGATAACATAATCCATGGATAAAGTGGGAAAGATGTGGAACAATTTCAAATACAGGTGCCAGAACCTCTTTAGTCATGAGGGTGGAAGCCAAAATGAAAGTATAGTTGTGAACTCCAATAATTGCTCGTCTGGTAAAGAGAAAGCCATCCAGATAAGTGACTTGCCTCAACAACAGCCCAGCAGCCCTTTGAGAGAAAACATTGCTTTGCAATTAGGCTTAAGTCCTTCAAAGAATTCAGCAAGGCGGAACCAAAACTGTGTCACAGAAATTCCTCAGATTGTTGAAATAAGCATTGAGAAAGAGAATGACTCATGTGTCACCACAGGAGCCAGGCTCGCTCGAAGGGACTCTTATTCTCGGCATGCTCCTTGGGGTGGGAAGAAGAAGCATTCCTGCTCTACCAAAACACAGAGCTCCTTGGATACGGAGAAAAGATTTGGTAGAACACGAAGCGGTTTGCAGAGGAGGGAGAGAAGGTACGGGGTGAGCTCAGTCCATGACATGGACGCGGTATCCAGCAGGACAGTGGGCAGCCGTTCTCTGCGGCAGCGTCTCCAAGATACTGTTGGGCTGTGTTTTCCCATGAGAACTTACAGCAAGCAGTCCAAACCTCTGTTTTCTAACAAAAGAAAGATCCACCTCTCTGAACTAATGCTTGAGAAATGCCCTTTTCCTGCAGGCTCAGATCTGGCCCAGAAGTGGCATCTGATTAAACAACACACAGCACCCGTGAGCCCTCATTCAACTTTCTTTGACACATTTGATCCTTCCTTGGTTTCCACAGAAGATGAAGAAGACAGACTCAGAGAGAGACGTAGGCTTAGTATTGAAGAAGGGGTTGATCCCCCTCCCAATGCCCAAATACACACTTTTGAAGCTACAGCACAGGTAAATCCATTGTATAAACTGGGACCAAAGTTAGCCCCTGGTATGACTGAGCTGACCGGGGACAAAACCATAACACCTCCAGGGAGCTGTGACTCCGAAGAGGACACGACGACGCTTTGCCTGCAGTCGCGCCGGCAGAAGCAGCGTCAGATGTCGGGAGAGAGCCACGGCCATATCGGCAGGCAGGGGGCTTGGAAAGTGCACACTCAGATCGATTACATCCACTGCCTCGTGCCAGACTTGCTCCAGATCACAGGTAACCCGTGCTACTGGGGCGTCATGGACCGCTACGAGGCAGAAGCGCTTCTGGAGGGGAAACCCGAAGGCACTTTCTTGCTCAGGGACTCTGCGCAGGAGGACTACCTCTTCTCGGTGAGCTTCCGCCGCTACAACCGCTCGCTGCACGCGCGCATCGAGCAGTGGAACCACAACTTCAGCTTTGATGCCCACGACCCCTGTGTGTTCCACTCCTCCACCGTGACGGGGCTTCTGGAACACTACAAAGACCCCAGCTCTTGCATGTTCTTTGAACCCTTGCTCACCGTATCTCTGAACAGGACCTTCCCCTTTAGTCTGCAGTATATCTGCCGGGCGGTAATCTGCAGGTGCACTACGTACGATGGAATCGATGACCTTCCTCTACCCTCAATGTTGCAAGACTTTCTAAAGGAGTATCACTATAAACAAAAAGTCAGGGTGCGATGGCTGGAGCGGGAACCTATAAAAACAAAGTAAAAGGAAATCAAAATAAGCTTCTGGAACGTGCTTTTTTTTTTGTGTATTACAGTTTAACTGCAGCAAGCGCACCGATGGCGTCTAGCTTTTCTGCAATACCCTATTTAAGCTGAGTGTTAGTATCCTGTCAGATGCTGCCTGCTGTTAATCAAACTAAGTTGTGATGCCTCTTGGAAACAATAAGCAGACACAATTCTGCACGTTTTTCATTAAGGCCTAGTGAAAATATTTTTGCTAATTTCTAAATATTTTATTTCCCTTTTATAGCTGTAGTAATTGGATGAAGAAACTATGAGGCATTTCCCATGGGGCATTCATGTAATGCTGTTAAAGAAAGGCTTTATCGAAGGGGCATTTTGCTAATATTTGAAGTATTTTTTTAAAAATTCTCTTCTTGAAAACTTTCCTCAACTCTAAGTAATAATTTAGATCACAGACAAGTTTCCAAATACTAGTGAATATTTTCTTGTAATGAAGAGCGGTTCATTAGAAGCAGTCCATTAAGAGTTAATGGTGCTTTGAGGCTAACAGATGAATCATGCTTTTCACAGTGTATAATGTTTCCTAATCATTAAGACTTGAATATGCCTGCTCAGTACTGTAATTCTGTTACAAACACTTGGAGATTTAAGTGGCATTGTTAGCAAAAGTAGTACTGTCTCAGACAGTTAAAAATACCTTCCAGTGTGAATTGCTGCTTCTGTGGCAGGACACAGAATTAGATTATTGCTGTGAAACAGAAGGTTGTGGGTTTTTTCCAAAACAGATTTTGGTGTCCTGACTGCTAGTAACTCACAGTAGAAGGTAATAGTGACAAGAAAAAAATTCTTAATTATTTAAAGTTGTCTGATATTTTTATGGAGAACATGACAAGTGGTTGAATTATTATAATCAGAGTACAAAATCTGACATATCTGAAGCAAATGTCAGGTTTCAAAGGTACTGGTACACTTTATTTGTAAATATCTTTCCATCTGCGCTTTTAAAAATGTTTTAAAGTAATATGCACTGATGATAGTTTCAACAGATTACTTAGAAACAAGATTCTAACTTCTGTTTGCTTATTTACTTGGAGATGGAACTTAAAAGTAGTTCTATCTTAGATATTTTGCACTAAAATCTTGTTGGAATGCCCTGACCCCTGTTTAATGTTTTGTACCAATTCTGAGTGCTCCCTAGTTTCTTTACCAGCTGCTACAGTATTTGATTCCTTCCTTCTCTACGGCAGTGACCTGTGTGAGGTAGGAAACATTTTGGCTGCAAGTACAATAAACGTTATTCTTGTATGCTACACTAACCCTTTATTGATGTATTTTTCTGCTTGCTGTGCCTTGTTCTGGCTTTTTGTGCTAATAAAGTACAGTATGTTCAGTGTTATACTTGTATATCTGCTCTGTTTTTATATATTCACCTAACTTGTAGCAGTTAAATGAATTTTTAATAGGCTTTTCTTAGTATTTAGGATAGGTAATGCACAAGTACTGTGCAGTTGTGTATTAGCTGGTCAGCACACCTTACTCCTGGTTTTTGTTACAACTTGACAGTGTACACCATTGAATAACGTTTCTGTAGTCACTGCAAGGTAGTGGACTTGTCTGCAGGCATAGAGCATTTTACAGGTTTTTGTAATGCAAAGGATAAATGTTAAGCAAAAAATGTTCTAAAACATTATTGATCCCCTGTAACGGTTGCTGAAGGTGTTTCAACTTGTTGTATAGGTAACTGCTAAGGTTAATATTTTGATACTCCCCACTGAGGAATGCTTATTCCTGTAAATTGACAGTACAGCAGCGGCATTTGTTCACTTTTAGGCTATTTTGATAAATAGATGTACACACAAATTGGCCAAATGTCCTGTTTTTACCAAAGAATACTGTCAATTTATGTTGGAGTATTTTTTTAGTTAAAAAAAAACAAACTCAAGAGTGGAGAGGTGCAATTTTTGTTCTATCAAATATTTATCCCAAGCTATGATAAACCAAAGTGTTTGACAACTTCATCTGAACCTAAGTAATGTATACATTTATGTTGGTGGAGCCTAAAGCTTTTACATCAGTGGTGTTGTCATTATTCCTGAACTCACAATGCACCTGAAGAGGAGTGATTTAAATAATTTTCTAATGACTGGAACAGCACTACAGAATAGCTCATACTGCGAGGGGTTAATCTGAAGCACCCAGAAAGCACTTTAAAACATGTGTTTATATGCTTGTGGAAAGTTTGTGATCCCGTTATGCATTCTTTGTAGTAGATTATCTTCTTTCATGTGTTAAAAGACTTCAACTGTTAAAATGGAACTTTGTTTAGAATATGTAAATACTAAGTTTATGTAATTATGTGTACAACTGTGCTCTTGGTCTCTTAAGTTTTGAATTGTGTATGTGTCATTGGATATGCAACTCTTGGTTTAAAATCTGCTCTAAGCATAAAAAGAGGAAAAAGTCACCAGCATGAAATTGCACCTAAGTGTACCTTCACTGTGTCGTTCTCACTGTTCTCTCAGTCGGATCTGAATGCCAGATGAGTTTACTTCAATTCTTGCTTTCAATATTAGTGTCATACAGTCAGCCTGCAACCAAGCTTTGTCCCAGTGCAGGGACCTGTTTTTCATTTACTCTTGTTGCAGTTGCTTGTCATGAACTAGCTGTGCCATTGTCAATGTGGTCAGGAATACACATTCATCTAATTTTTAATCATGTGGTGGAATCTTTGGGAAAGAAAAATAAATACCCCAAACCCTTACCTCAGAAAGTTTGCTCTTGCATTTGTATAAATAATTTTTATGGAGAGATTTGCTCCCCTAAAACACGCCAACAATGAATTATCTATTTCTCTACAACTTTTTTAAAGCTCTGCTTCACTGAAATATACAGAATAATTTGCTAGTGTGGTTATGCTAAAATGAATCACTTTTTAAATTTTGATGGACTTGAGTGTTGACTACTCCAGTTGCAGTGTATTTCTTAATGAATACATTTTCAGTTCTAAAGGCATTAAAATGCTCGTAGGTGGCGAATGCAAATAGTTGATTTCTCATTTGTGTTTCTCATTCTGGTTTCATTTAGAAAATCTTAAACATTTCTTAAAGAGGTGCACAAACCACAGCTTTATTTTTTTTAAAATGTAACTGTAGGATTCAATGTAAAAAAGTACACTTGTATTGTTCCAATCTAATTTGGTTACATGACAGATGAGTTTTTGAGCCTCAGTCTTGTCAAGTGTTTTTTTGAGGTGATTCTCGTTTCAGCAGAAAGAGCTATAGAAAGTGCTTACTCTGTAGGAGGGTTTTGTGAGGAATCTTACCAAAGGTATTTTATGCCCCTGTGGAATTGGAGAAAGGAAAATATACTATATTTTGAGTATCCAGGAAGGATCTACGAGTTTAGGGTCTCTTAGCAGTTTTATCAGGTCTATGGTGTTTATCAGTTTTAAATGCATAATTCATGAAAATACTTGTAAGGCAAGTACACTTGTCCAGATAATTTACTTGTCAGAATGGAACTTGTGAAGAAAATAAGTTGCTAATTAATGTTTTGCATTTATGTACTTTTAAATTTTATTCACATTTGAAGACTTACTGCTTACAAAATGATGGTCCTTAAATCAGAAACATAAAGTTGTGAAAAGATGTGTCTGTTTTTCTGTAGTGTTTGACAATATGAAGTCAAGCCTTACAGATGTCACTCAAATCCTTAAGTCCATGTTTAACTTTAAGGTTCAGCACTGCATAGAAACAAGCAAAAATTCTGAATTTCTCTAGTAAAAAACCTGTTTGCTCGAGTCTCCATGTGCAAGCCAAAATATTTGCAGAATGCTTTAAAGCTTTTCTCTGCTGCAGAATTGCATGTAAGACAGAAATTGTCATTGTCCGAAGTTGCTGAGTACCAGAGAGATATATCTGCAGGCATCGTGGTTCTTTTTTTTTTCCAAAATTATCTTGAAAGACAGTATTTAATGGAAAAATGTGAACTGAATCTTAGTTGATTCTTTTCTAAAATAGTGTTTCTCCATTTAAGACATTTAAAACTCACATTTAAAATGATGACAGCACTTTTTGAGCCTCATTTTTTGAAAGTTTTGTTGTGAAGTGAGCACGTATGTGCCAAACCTTAGTCTGCAAGTATTGGGCACATGTATATTTATATGTTAATAAGATGCCTCCAAGCATGTTTACATTCATGGAATTTTTTGAAGCTACTGAAGTACACCAATATGATGAGCATTAATATATTGGAATTCTAAAAATTCTGTCTATTTTCTGTCTGTGTATGGCATGCTTTGCAATTAAAAGGACTATTGTATTTGTATCTTCACCTGCACTTTTATATATTATGACCAGTTGATTGGTGTGTTTTTTCCTGCTGTCATCACACTTACCTAAACAGTTGTCCCTGGACTGTGACCAAAGGAGATTTTTCATACCTGTTTATTTCAAAGTAGAAATCAAATCAGTTGGCTTTTAAAGTATTAATCCCTATGAGGCATGGTGTAACACTGCTAATTGCTCTTTTCCTTTTTGCAGTATTATGTACAGAGAATCATTTAGTTTGACCATGAGTTGTATCTGTTGAATGTAGTTGACTTCAAGTGTCTGAATTTTAAGCCTTTTTTTTTTAACTGAAAATGTTCCTGATGAGGACTTTGAAAAGGAAAAGGTTTGATGTTTTTATGTCAAAATACCTAAAGTGAATGTTTTGCAATGAGATAAGGATCTGTTGAAGATGCTTTTTAGAAGTTTTCCCCTGTCACTGTCTTAAATCAAGACTCTTTAAAAAAAAAATCAAACCCCAAACAATCTCTTGATGACTTAAACCTTACAATCTTTTGAAAACTGAAATCTGGTGCTTTTACTTAATTTGCTTGCATATTGCCAGACTGATTTAAGAATAGTTGTTTCAAGAAGCAAATTAAATCTGTTATTTCAATGAAGCATTGCCATTTATAATTTTATAAAATATTCCATTTACAAAAATTGTCTATCAACAGGATGTTAACCTGATACTGTATTTATTGTTATCAGGGTAACTGTTGTGTGTATGCTTTTCGAGCTGAGTAAGTGTTCCCTTTGTAAATTTGCATTAAGGCTACAGCTGTTACCAGCAAGGTTCCCTAGGGCCAACACAATGAATTTATGAGCTGAAGCTCCTGGTGCTTGACCCTTTTTTGTCTTCAGTAGGAAAAAAAGTGTGTAACTCTGTGCAATACAGCTCATGTTACAAATTTCCATGTTAAGCACGCAGCTATGCTGACAAGCAGAAACATATCTGAACTTGCTTGTCTGGAGTAAAGCAACCTCTCTGACTTCTCAGCAGGAGCTGTAACTTGGTGGCACGTTGGCAAAGAGGAAGCAGAAATAGGTTTTGCTCTTCCCTGAGCAGCTGTTAACTGAACACGGGGTGTGCTTCCTGTGTGATAGGGTATCTGAACTCCTTAGAGCCCTGAGAATTTTAATAGCCTTCGGAAGATACAGAAGCACTTGGCTGCTTTGCCACTTCTTGCTTTCGTGCTTGTAGTTTTGCAAAAGCTTGAAGAGATGTATTTATTAAAATTGAATCTATGTAGTCACCAACTGTATAAGCACTGCTTTGTAATATCTTTACAGAGATATCAAATTCCTACACAATTATATTTAAACTGTTTTGGGAAAATGAATAATGACACTGTGGGCACAAATTAATTCAGATTGCACTATAAACTTTCTTACCAGAAGCCTTCATTCTTACAAAGAACTATGCGATCCCTACACAGAAACTGTAGCTTTGGTGGCGCGCTCTTTGGTCGGTGTCCAAAGCAGCGGCATCCCGACGGTCCCTGGACCTTTTCTGACATTCCAGTTGAGGGGCCTGGCAGGCCCGCTGGGCACTCGAGGAGTTGGCTGGCAAGCACGCCATGCCGAGCGTCACCCGCTGCCAGCACCTTGTGTAACTCTGCTGGTGTAGGTCTCCCCAGCTTAGATGGTTTTTAACTCACTGCAGCTTAAATGTTTCTCCACCCTGCCTAATTTGTCTTTGTTATTTGGTTGCCAAACTGTCTTGCATCTTAATAGAGTGAGAAAATAATGTGATTTATGGCTACCCAACCAGTGTATTAAGTAATAGATGGCTCTGTCTTAATAAACGGGGTATAAACTGCCATATTGTTTTCTTTTTATATTTGTTTGGGAGCAAAAAGTTGTGGGTTTAATGAGTTTATTTTAAGTCCGTGCTGTAAACGCATAGTTTTACAAATATTTAGTTGTACATGTCAAGAACAATAAGTAATCAGTAACTCATGTTAGAGTCCTTTTCGCTTTCATCTAAATACTTGAGTGAAGAGATCCACAGACTGATAGTTGTTGTCTTCAAAAGTTTTATCACGCTCTGAAATTCATCAATTAGTTTAGTGAGTTTTCACTTAAATCACTTAAAGTGTGATTTAAATCTCTCCAGCTGTGGGCTAAGGACATGTTTTTGTGACATAGTTGTGTCTTCTAGAGCACAGCCCCCATGGGCACAAACTCAGGAACAGATGTAGATGTCATCCTGTAAACTACGAGTGTTTCTGCTCTGTGCCTGATGGGAGCTGCTCCCAAAGCAAATTAGTGCAAACCCTATAGCTAATTATGAAAACTGAGCAAAATGCTGCTGGTGAGCAGTTCTAGCTGGGCACAGCAACAACCATGTGACAAGCTGAAGAAGTGTCGTGGGCTGCTCTGTGGAACTATTTTGGGCTTCTTAATTTGTTAATTATATATTTTCTAGACCACTGCTCCTAAAAATACATTTAGCCTAGGCTTCATTGGAGTATTTATATCTCATCACTGGTGAACTAATAGAAAACTGAAACCCTGAAAACAAACCATGTGGTTTTGGCTGTTTTATATAGAGATTGCCCATGTAGTTTTAGCTTCATTGGTACATGGAGAAGCCTATGTGTCTTAAACTCACCTGAAATAAATCTGTAATTGATTAAGAAAGGAAAGTTATGGAAATTGATTCACTTGTTGTAGTGGTGGGTTTTAAATATTAAGCTCAAATTATGTAAAACTTATGGCAGATATCCTAATATTATATTAAGTATTTTATGTATTTAGCTGAGGAAAATACAGGCACAGTGATACTTCAAAAGGGTTTCAAAACACCAGGTATTCTAAGCTACAGTTCCTAAAATCAGTATCTTCTGCATCACTTTGCTAGGGAAGGGAATTTTAGGAGTTTCTTAGAAAGCTGCTGTGTTGTGACTTGGCAGGTACCTAGAAGAGAACATGTCAGTATATGGAATAGATGTAGGAGAGGCCCTGCAAAGAACTTGTCTGTTACACTAGCACAGGTTGTGCAGGGCAGAATCTGTTCCTACAGGGTTTTTCTTGGGCTTCTAAGGGACCAATAAGCATTTATTTGGTTTCTAGATGGAATGCAATAGTTGTAAGCATGGTGGAGATTGCTGAAGTGACATTGCTGCCACTGAACACAGAGGACCTGGACAAATGAATCCGTAAGAAAGGTTTGTGTTGTCATTTCACCTCTGAAGCAGCTGGTGGTGTGAGGAACATTAGGGTGGTTTCACATCTGAGCTTCCCAACATCTGATAGCTTGGGTGTGGATGAAATGTTGGCATGACCTGCTTGGAAGATTGCTTTCACTTTCCCATCAGGTGTCGTGGGGTATCTAGGAAGTCAAAGTTGTAAACCTTCAGTGGAGATTTCACCGCTTCTCCTGAAAAGTTACCAGATGAATAAAAATCGCCATTTACAGGGTTTCT